TTTTCGGTCTTTTTGAGACAGGGTCTCCCTGTAGCCCCAGCTGTCCTGGAACTCACTATGTAGACCAGGTTGGCCTTGAACTCACAGAGATCCGCCTGCCTCTGCCTCCCAAGTGCTGGCATTAAAGGCGTGTGCCACCACACCCAGCTATGCGAAATTCATTTTTAATCCCTTTCCCATACTTAATTTTTCTGAAGAGAGAAGAAAACAGAGACGAAGAATCCATAATTTGAAATTGAGCATGAATTGATATCCTCAGTGATCAGAACACATTAGATGAGAAGATATCTAAAATGTCCAGCTTATTCAAAAGATTTCTCATATATAACAAAGCATAGCTTAATGGAAAGAAAATTAGAACTGGCTCCTGGAGCTTTGTATGTTTATAGACATAAAGTTTCTTCTGGTAGTTGACTTTCATGTTTAATTAAATGACATTTTGCCCTTTTACACATGATAACATTAGATTTCCATTTTGGCTCAGATGAGAGAGGTTAACTTTGAAACACATAGAGGAGGCTGATAAAAGATCTCAGTGGGTAAAGGAATGGGTGTGCAGGCATAACACCCCAAATTCTATTCTCATACAAGATGGCAGGAAAGAATGGACTCCCAAGAGTTGTCCTCTGAACTGCACACACATGTGCCATGGCACATGTACACCTGCACTTGCACACACACACACATACACAATAAATAAACACATCAATAAATCAGTATATAAAATTAAAAAACAAAAAGTTTAGTAAAAAGATTATAAACAGGATTGGAATTTGTTTGGGGATAAAGAATATTGTAAAATCCATTTTTTCTTTATGTTTCTCCTTAATAAACAGAGTAACACATCAGGTAGCTCACAATGTCTGTAACTCCAGTTCCAAAGATCTAATACCCTCTTCTGGCCTCTGAGCACACCTGTACACATGTGGCATACATTCACACACACATACATAAAAAATGTAAAATAACTCCTTAAAAAAGACTGAAGTTCTAATAAAATACTATAACATGAATGAATCTTGAAAACGCTATACTAAGTAAAATAAGACAGGCACAAAAGGAGAAGTATTTTTAAAAGGAAAGATATTATGCATTTCATTTATATGAGATATGTAGAAAAAGACAAATTTATAGAGAACAAAAATGCACTAGAGGTTACCAGGCGCTGGGAGGAACAAGGAGTGGATAGTTACTGTTTACTTGGCACAGAGTTTTGAGATGGTGAAAAGTTCTAGAAATGGATACTGGTGATGACCATACAATGCAGTGGATTATATACTTAAGGTCAGTTGGTTAAGATGCTAAATTTTATGTTATGCATATTTTCTATGAAATTAGTCTAGTAAAAATAGGGTTCAAAGTCCCATGACAGTTTATAAAAATGTCTCAAGTTTCAACTGAAAATCATCCCTACTTAGGACCAGGAGGATCTCAAATTAATGTGAAAAGACAATCAGTTGACAACAGTATCCATCAAGATGACAAAGATATTAGAATTATCTGATAAAAAATTTAAAGTAGTCATGATAGAAATGCTTCCACAGGCTGTTATGGATATGCTAAAAACAAAGCAGCATCACTATTCATGATTTTGAAGAGTTCTCACAAGCTATTTTTAAAAAAATTTCTTTTTATTAAACTTTGTTGTATTTCATAGAGAATATCTCAAACAATCTGAATCATCCTTATAGCCCCATCCCCACCAGCACCCACCCATATCCCCCCACTGGAACCCATATACTCTCTCCTGGGTGGTAAGGCCCACTCACAAGCTGTTTTTAATCATTTTAAATCAGCATGTGTGCTGGATCTCATCAGTTGTCAACTTTACACGCCTGGGAAGAGGGAACCTCAGTTGGGGAATTACCTGTTTGGCTGACCTGTAGCCATGTGTGGGGGAATTTCTTAACTGTTGAGTGCTGTAGGAGGACCCAGCCCACGGTGGGTGGTACCACCCCTGGGCAGGTGGTCTTGGGTTGTATCAGCAAGCAGGCTAAATAAATAATCAGGTAATACAAACTGACACTCTATTAATGTAGAGGCTGGTTGATTATCTCTAAAGCACTCCCCAGTTCTGACAACAATAAACCAATATTAGAAATAAAAAAGAAATTAGCAGGCTGAGCACAGGCCAAAGGAGCAAGCCAGTAAGCATTCCTCTGTGGTCTGTGCTTCAGTTCCTGACCCCAGATTCCTGCCTGGCTTCTCTCCATGATGGACTGTGAGCTGTTCCTCCCCGTGTAGCTTTTGGTCAGTGTTTTATCACAGTAATAGAGAAGCAGGCTAGAACAGCATGCAACGCAGGACAGAGCCTCCAAATACATAAGGCAAATGACAGAATCATTAGGTAAACAAATATACACAGATACTTTTCACAAGCCTTTCTATTACTGGTGAGAAAAAAATGTTAACAGTAAAGATTTGAGCAGCCTGATGAACAAGTCTCACCTACCTGAGGTGGACATACCATAACATACAACAGCCAGAGGGCACTATTTTAAAAGAATAGTTATAAAAATTATCTACACATTGGTTCATTAGCACATTTCAGTAAATTTGAAAGACAGAAGTCATACAGAGCTTATTCTCTGGCCACAGTGCAACCAAGCATTTGTTATTAATATAATTACAAAAGGTTAAGTCAAAAATTCTTGTTTGGTGTGTATGGTAGTACACACCTTTAATCCCATCAGTCAGGAAGCAGAGGCAAGTGGATCTCTGTGAGATCAAGGCCAGCCTGGTCTACATAGCAAGCTCCTGGCCAGCTAGGGCTACTGGGATCCTATCTCAAAAAACAAAACAAAAATGTTGTTTACAAATAAATAAAAATATTTCTAGATAGCATTTGAGTTAAAGAAATCACACAGGGGTGGAGAGATGGCTCAATGAGTATAAAAAGCACTTGCCATGCAAGCATGAGGACCCAAGTTTGGATCCCCAGAACCCTATAAAAGCAGGGTGGATGGGGCAGCCTTTAATCACAGTGCAGAAGACAGAGACCCCAGAAGCAAGCAGACTAGCCAGACTAACTGAACAGGAAGTTCAATGAGAAACCATATAGTGGAGAGAGATTGAGAAAGACATCTAACATCAACCACAGACCTCCACATGTGTATATACACCTGCCTGTTAATGTACCTGCACACATACAAACACACATGGACACATGCATGCACATCACACATGCATATGTAAAATTAAAAAGGAAAGAAATCACACAAGAAATTAGAAAAAAAGGGCACTGGAGAGATCGCTCAGTACTGAGCCATCAGTTAAGAGCACTGGCTGCTCTTGCAGAGGACCTGGGTTTGTTTCCCAGAACCCACATGACAGCTAACAGCCATCCATTCCAGTTTCAGGGGCTCCA